GAAGGCAAAATAGATCGGTATTAAACGTAAAGTTCAGAAAATCCGAGCGATCGACGAATCGCTGCTACTTTCAAAATCTCCCCAAATAGTTCTTTAAATAATTTTCATTACTATAATCCAAGAGTGACAAAAGAAACAGAGAGTAATGGAGAGCTAGCACACATGCATGAATAGTACACGCAAAAAGGACGCAGGACACTGCAGTCATCAGGACAGTTTTATTACTTCCCACATAGAGCTCCATAAATAACGATGCAGGAAGCATTTGCTGTGGTGCAAAGTGCACCAATGTGCGCTCTCGGAGGGCGAGCGTCGTTAACCTTCATCGACATTTCAAATGTGTTCTTTCTCATCTCTCCCTGCTTCCAATCTACTCTCAATGCTTTCCTGTATTTTCATTTTGTGTATGTATGTACGAATCTGTCTGTTGTATGTGTGTGTCTGTGTGTGTATGCATGTATATATGTATGTATGTATGTATGTATGTATGTATGTGTGTGTTTTGAAAAAATGAATAAATTCTTCTAGTTGTACCCAGTGCTACGTTCGCTCAATCATCTTTCAGCTCCTCATCCTTATCGTTATTTTCATGATTTTACATTTTTTTTTTACTCTTTTCTTTTTGCCTTACGTCATGAATTCTTCTTCATCCTTTCCTGTTTCATATCCAAGTGTATCTCACAGAGCCTTCATGTTGGAGTATTTTGTTAAGGACTTGGCATATGATAAACCTGGCAAGCACTAATGTAGAAATTACAAGTTTTTGTTGGAGGATGTCATATTTGCTCTCCTTGCTATTTGATGACTGATTTTGGAATGAGAGATATGTTGGGAGACTTTGATATAGATTATGTGATTGCTAGTTTGTTATATAGGCGCAACATCAAAATAATTGGTGGAATTTGAAGTGGACATGTAAGGTCGTTGTTTATGGTGCTTTCCCAACTATGCTTCATTACATTTGACGCATCTTTGGCGTATATTGCTCCCCTAAATATTTTTTCACGTTTCTGAAGATCACCTATCCATCTATCATTCCTATCCTTTTTTTCATGGAAAGTGGAATATCGCTGTGCATATGCCTCATCATAAAGGACTCGCTAATCAATGCCAAGACCGTGTGAAAATATTTAATGTGAGTGAAAGCGTTCTTTTTGTGCATGTCTCTCTCTTACAAAAGATTAGACTTCAGAATTGCAGGCAACTTGCAAATATTTTGAAAAAAAAAGAAAGGAAACAGATAGTAGAAGTGAGACAATTTATTTAGCAATAGAACCGGAGAAAAACTCCATTTATATCTACCGTTTCCCCAGATTTAAGGGCATGACTTGCCATAAAGCCCGACAATTTATTTCACAAGTTTGGAAATCATGTTTACATTTATATTATAGAGAATGTGAGTAGATAAGTGAATAAAGAAAAGTGGAATCTGTAGAGTTCAAACGAAAGTCATTGTGGTAAAATTGGGTTTGTAAATTTGGTTTGGGATCATGCCCTCATTTTCACATATTTTCGTTGCGCTTTTTTATTTTTAACAGTGAACGTTCGAATGGCTGCAATGTGTTTCATTTACAGCTAATCGTGAAACTAAGTATTCCTGGTGCTTCGTGGTTCATCTGGAAAATGTTGTGATTCAAATGGGATAATCATTCTTCTAGTGATCAAATGAAACGTTTATTGTGCGAGTATGTTGTTATGCAATTATTGCAGGGAAATTTATTGGATGTTTAAGTTGCTTACCAAGCAGCCATGAGACTTAATAATCAACCGGGAAGGAAGGATAATCATGCCGAAAACAACAGATTAGTTCGGTTTTTAGGACAAACTAATAAAGAATCGTAAATATGGGAATGTTGAGATGCAAAAAAGTGTAATTCAGATGAATATAGCAATAAGACTTTTTTATGCGTGCTTAATTTAGCAAATTCGATATAAACATTTATATTAACATTTAAACTGCTCAAATTCTCTTTTGACCCAAATGCATCATTAGTTCAACGTATGGGGAATAGAAAGCACATATATAAACCGTCGTGGATTGTAAAGAGCTTGTCGAGTCAAAATTTGAAGTGTAAAAAACCGAAAAATGAAAGATGGGAGAGTATGAGATAAATGTATAGAGAAAGAAGTGGGAAAATTCGAAAAAATGAAACAAAGATAAAAAAGAGTGACAAGAATCAGAAAATGCTTTCACAATAAAAATTATTCTGCGTCAGCAGTGTTGAAAGTTGAAAGGATGAATTGGTTTATCAAAGTGCACATTAGGCAATAACCATTCCATATTTACAAAATAATATTTGCAAAATTCCCAACTGCCTTGCTAAGAATGGTTATGGGAACAAAAAATTTTTTTTATAAAATAGATGAACAAATACTGTGCCTAGAAACCGTCTAGGGCCAATTACTAAAAGCATTTGTTATTGTGATAGGAAGCCTGAATGATGTCTGTACTCTGCGCTCACACGCACACACACACACACACACACACACACACACACACATACACATCACATGTAAATGATGCACATGTTACATATGCAATAAGAGAACTTTAAGACAAACTCATCCAACATAAACCTCTTCATGATACCCTACTGTACATTCCCAATCGAACACTGTACCACTGTGCCAGCCAGCAGCACCCAACACTTCTACTGCTGCTTCCATCCAAACAGTCGGCTTTTTTTATTTATTAAGTGCATTTGTATGTGTGTATATGTGTATGAGTGTTTAGTAGGCAAACTTGAAAAAACACACATGGTGCTTGGATGGGATGTATTCGATGTTGCGGTTGAAATGTAATAAGGAGGAGCGGGAGTTGTGCACAATTCCTATACCAAGGTTACCCATCTGAACTGATTCATAGATTTTTATAGTTATTTATCCTGCTTTATCATGTCCTTTCTGTCGTCTGTTTTTTTGCAACTTAACCAATTACCACTTTTCTTGATGCCATTAGCTTATGCAATTTTCAATTTTATTTGAAAAGTTTAGAGACTTAATTCTTGGGAATCATATAATCGGGGAGTAGCAATGCAATGGCTTGATGTATTTCAAGTTTTACGGAAAAGAAATTGAGAGTGTTACTGATTGAAATATCTGAGATCTTTACTGACAGCAGGAATAATTCGGTGAATAATTGATATAGCCCAATCAGTGTGTTTTCTTCCGCTTTAATATATCGTGAAGGTACAAATCACTAGAATATTCTTGGCGACAGCTTCGGGATGTTGTTTTTGCTGCAAAGCGGTTGAAATGAAAAATTTCTTTTGAGTTCAGTTCGCTTTCTTAGTTTCTCATGCTCCATCGTTGCCATTTCGCGAATATTTAAAGGATCAAGCTCATAAATATTTCAGCTCGTATTATCATTGATATCTTTTATTGGGGAGCATTTCGTATCCAGTTCCATGTAATTGTTAAGCAAACGATGTGTTATCATTTAGGAGTCTTTCACTGCTAGAACTATTTTTGAATTGATAATTCCAAAAAATTAATTTTAAACTTGTATGATAACTATCACCTTTCTGATCACGTCACATAAATCCTATCATCACGTAGCTGCAGTTGTAGAGCTTATTTGTCCTACCCTTAAGGACTCTTATTCGGCATCTTTATGCGTTTGTGGTTTTCTGTAGGTCTTACTATTAGCCATCCGAAACCATGCCTGAAACAATATTTTTACAACACTGTTTTGGCGCCGTAGTTATTTAATAATCCATTGTTTACTGTTCAGCGTATTATATTTTCAACATACTTCTTATCTAATTTTTTGATCAACTTTTCTTATCAGACTATGGGACATCTTATCATAACCATTACCTTATCAAATTAGAACCGCCGATGCTTCTCGAAATTGTTACTAGGGGTCCTTTGATCGCAAAAATTAACAGATATTATCGAATTAACAGAACGAGAGTGGTTTTTCATCGCGATCGAAAATAAATTCCAAAAGAAAATACGCTTTGTAAAGATAGATTTGACCTTCTGAAAACAATTATTCCTCATCATTTCCCCTTTTTGGATGCTTTGCTCGAACAAAAGCTCTCTTTTTTCGCGTATTTCTAGTATATTTACTGAAAGTTTAAAAGTGTTTGAGGGTCTTGATTACCGCTGATTAAGTTTGAAGATATTTGTGTTATACTGTCCAATTGCAAACGATGATATATGTGAGGTGAGTGGTGCAAAATGTTTTAGATCAGTTATAACCACTACTGGTTCTGTTTAGAAAAATATGGACAAATATTTTTTTTATGAGATAGATAATAATTTATGAAGTGTTAATCGAGTACGATTTCTGCCAATCACGCCAATTGCTTGATAAGTTCAAATTTGATTAGTGGCATTTGCAGGTAATCTGACGAGAGTATATACGATTATGTCCGGTTTGCTGAGAAAACCGTAGGAAATTACATGATTGCTCACCTGTTCAGTAAACGTTACTGTATAAATTTGATTTGTAGATGAATCCACCTCTGGATCAAGTACAGGTGAATTTGTGCCGTTCATGGTGCATGTTTCAATAAATGTAGTTAATTTAATTGTGAGTCGTGCATTGACTCAAGCCAATCTCTTTTTGAATTCTCGTCATGAAGATATCCGGAATGTTTTGTTCCCGAAATAATGTGAAGTATATTTTGCAGCTGAGGGACAATTTTCTTCTAAACATTGAAATGTGTGTTCAAGACATGAAAAAGAGAAATAGGAGAGAGAAAAGAGATAGAGAAAGATATCTAAGTTTCATCTTGCTTGATGAATTTCCAAAATTTCTATTCCCCATATCTAATTGAAGAAAATCCGTGGAATATACTTTGCCAATCGAATTTTAATTATTTAAGTTTATCACTGTCAGATGACACTATTTGGATAAAGATCGAGTGCTCTTTTAAATGCGTATTATCCTAATTCCGAATGATGCGCTTAGAAATGATTATCAGTATCTGAGTGAAAGCCAATAAAGTTTTCTTGTTTAAAGAAGGACAAGGATAAAAGATAAATGGAAAATGGATGGAAACTGTGAACAAGGACGCAATATTCGTGATGATTCCTCAAGCGTCCACCCTAAACTGCGTGGTAAACGAAAAGCAACCGATGATCCCACCGGTACGTTTTTCTATCATTCGCCTTTTAGCATTTTCGAACATCATTAAACTCGTGGGATTGTGTATCCATCGGCTAATTTACCCCGTGCTACTCGCTCTATGTTGAATGTTTGGCCAGTCTTGGCATATTCCGGTGCCTGAAGTTAAGTATCGTATCTTCATTCTTTCCGTAGTAAGATTGTCTTCATAGTTTGAGAAAAGAGTTTAAATTCCTTGCCTTGGTGATAAAATGCTTTTGAGATTAATATCTCAGATTTCTAAAACGACAATTTTCTCAGTGTATTAAACCATTTAAATTCACTAGGAGCGGGAGGATCGTTAGATTCGCCTCCCAGTTCGTCGTCACTACTAGCCCAGCTGTATGCATCTTCCTCATCATCGTCATCATCGCAACCACAACAGCAGCAAACATATGGATCAGGTCCAACGGCAACAGCGTCTCTACAGGTGGTAAATACGAGATAGTTACCATCAACACCATTGAATTCTTTCACCATATTGGCTTCATTTAACAGGGAAGTGGTTGGCGTCTGTCAGTCAGTGATCAGCTTCAATTTCAGTTCGACACTCTTGCATTAATGGAGCAGTTGAAAAAACGCAATTTAGGACTTGAAATACCAACCAATTTCACAGGTATCTTTTCTGAATTGATCACACTTTTAAAGAAATCATAAAGTTCCATAAAGGTTTTTGTAGATTTTAAAAATTATGTACTTACGCTCTCCATCACTCAAACATCTGTCCTCACTCAGTTGAAGCAATCGTGGCATTTCACACGCGCATTTGATAATTTTTCAGGATGATAAGCATGAAGCAAGTTTAGTATTACATATTTACAAATCATTGCTAACATACTGCACAATCGAATACCACAGTAGCAAATTATATAGCCTTTTGAAATTATCTCTTTAGCATCAGGACTGATGATATCATTACTTCCATCAGCTTACTTCCCGCGTATTTTTGGCATCTGCTGAGTCATTTTATATCTTTCGATTTAATTTCTTATTTCCTTAATTTTAAGGCTTTAATGGACAAAACAATTTATTTTTGACAGGTGAATATGTTATTGATTATTCAATAAGTGAAGTAAAGGTAAGCATGTTCCTATACTCTACCTGACTTGTTTCAGTGGAATCAATGAATGAAACAACAGTCAATTTGGAAGTATGGAAAACAAGTCGTGTGCTAGCTCGTTCACCTGATATTGAAGGATATTTGCCAGCATGCATTAAAGGTGTCAGAGCAAACAAAGATGTTACCGTACAGGTTTGTCTAATATCTGAAATTTTTTAAAACTGCAACATCATAGACAAAGTCAGATGTTCAAGAGAGGGGAGAATGACTTCTTTTATACTTCAGTCATGGGTCAGCATGTTTTGGAAAATTTCAAATTAAGTTTGCAGTTTGACAATGGTACTGAACATGTATTTGAAGACGTGATAACATCATTGCGTGAATATCCTGACATACTCGCCGATCAAGCACCAACCCCTGATTCGGTAACTTCTCTAAAATTTCATTTAGGGTGAAGCATCCTAGAGTATTCATCGCATTTTTTACGTGAAGGAATTATTTTATGAATGTTCGAGTAAATACCCATCAGAACGCTTATAGAGAGTGGACCACCTGAGATTAGGTTTTACTGGATGTGTTTCTTCCCACATGAAAGCATAATTTAGAAAAAGTATTCTTCATTTCCGCAAATACGAATAAACATATGCGCCCACTATCACGGCCTTTTTTTCCTGAAGATTCACATCTCTGTTCAGCCAAATTTCTATTTGAATGTGAAATATACCATAAGCGCAGGTCATCTTTGTTGCGCGTTGCATGCAGAAATCCCAACCATTTCATGTTTTACGGGCATTTATGAATAATCCATCGTTTACTTTGAGGTATCGTAGTAAGTTATTTTATCATTATTGCGCTCTCACATATTTTATTAGAATAGCCATCACAAAAAAGCGAAAGTTGCATTAGTGATGTAATTCAGTACCTTCTTCGTCCTAATTTGTTGAATAGTATAACCTTGCAAAGACTGCTCTATCATTTTAGATCAATATTGCGGACGTGGTTTGTGTGAGGTGGAAGAATGATGAGAACATATATCGTCTAGCTGAAGTATTGAAAAAAACAGCTTGGCCCATAATGTTTCAGGTTTCTTTTCAAATTTAATTTCAGTTTCTATTTACCAATGAATGCATATTAAAATGAGGTAGTAGTTTCTAACGACTACATTAACTCTAAAATATTACAGCCAAATCAAAATATTGCAGATGCGTCTACATGTTGGTATTTCAACCGATTTTTGGTTTCACCGTGCAAGCATACGGCTGTTACGTCCGCCGTGGTACGATGAGCTAAACGCCATGGGCAGTTACAATAATTCGACCGTCAAAAGTCGGTTCGTTCAGAAGTAATAATAAACAATCCGTGGGAACATGGGAAGTAGCGTAATGCTCTTTCCGCTTTAATTACAAAATAAAAATGATCTATTTATGAAAGGAAGATTATGATTATCTAAATAAAGTTACAGTGATGAAAACGGTGGAACTTATTCTAACAGCTGTTCTGGAGTATTGGCAAGTGTAATAACACATTTTGCACCTCTAGCCTTACCAAGTGCTGTTCGAACAACCTCATCCAGCCATCTGAGGTATTTTCTTCTTTCATTTCTGATAAAGAAAGATACTGTCTCACAAATTTGATGTCCACTTATCTTTAGGTAAGCGGAAATCTATATTAACATCAATACAGAGATTTTTCTGTGATTAATATCTCTCTTCTTCTGGGTGATTAATATCTCTTTCGTATCCTCTTCTGGGATACCTGACCTATTTTTTGATTTAAAACATTTGCTTCAGTGCAACCGAAAATGAGTCTCAAACACTACAAAAAAAGGCTAGCTACAGTGATGCTGCAGATTCCGATGATGAACCGATAAAAGATGATCAGGTTAGCATGTACGACATAGCATAACTTACACTATTAATTCTATCTCTGACGCTTTTATTTGTTAAAAGTGGTGAGAACTTGCACTTGATGATTTGCTTATTTTCAATAAAACTATTCTTTAAAAAATTATTGTTAAGGTTGAAGGTACATCTGATGCGAACAATTTTTCGGGTAAATCAACGCCAAAGTCTGCGGTAGGAACAATTGCAACAGAGCGAATGTCAACACAGTTTTTTGGCTTAACACCAACTCAAGCGGTTTCTGGCAACGCGACAACTTTTGATGAAGTTCAGCAAGTGCAACAATGTGTAGCAAGTCAAGCTGTTTCAGTAGCTTGCGCTGCTGCCGTGCAGGTAAAAGTTCATGTTAGCTATATGGAGTATATTATTCCGCATGGTCTACTTTTCAAATCCCGTATGACCATTTATATCAGTATTGATAATATTTCTTTTATTTCGTTGCGGATGACTATCGTAATTACCTCATTTGCAACGATCATGCTCACCACTCCACTGGCTTTAGCTGTTGCGCGGACACTAACAGTATCACGTGGGATTTTGACATGTTTTTGATATTACTGAGACTGTCATGTTATGTTGAACTCTCACTCTTGACATGTCTGCCTCTAATGTTAGCTTGTCTCTTCCGCCATTAAGCGTGACATCTTGAAAGTCGCCTGACTGAAGTCGTAGATACTGTAAATAATTTCAATTTCCATTGCTCTTTTTTCTTATGCCAAACTTTTTCCAAGATCTTACTTCTATCTTCACCAAGGAGAAATGAAAAATTAGATGTGATCCTCCCGCGTTTTTTTTTTTTAAAATGTCGACAATGCTATGAAATATGGGTCGTTTGGGAACTTTTCGTCTTGAAATCTACGACTGATAATTGTGATGAAAGTGAACGTAACTGCCAATTTCTTCTAGACTGATTTCGTCCACTTTCACAGTAGGTCCCGGGTATACTGGTGATTATTCTAAACTTTTTTTCTGTCCCGTTTTTTAATTTTTGCATTCAGCTAATGCAGCATCTCATTTATCTTATCTGAAACGCATTACTCGATATGGATTTGGTACCGTTCGTGATGTTTAAATGGTTGAACTTCCCGCTATTAATTTGCGTATCCTCATTTTTTTTTTACAAAATACCATATTTGGAGACCAAGAAATCATCCTGTTTTAAATCTTTCTTAACTTGCAAACTAATTGAAAAATTAAACTGTTCGCTGTTAATCGAACAAGCCTTACTAAGCGCTGGGTTATTTAACATAGCAATCCGTTGCTCTGCAGGAGTTTGAAGCATGATTTTTGTTTTAGAGATGGTTGAACAGCTTCTTTAAATCGACAAGAACGATGTAAAAAGAAGCTGATCATTTCAACAAATGATTAAGAACGAAGATGTAGTCTGTAATGTTAATTTTTGCCATGATCTAACCATATTCTGCTCGTGCCATTCATCATCTGCAGTAAGATGATTGGTGATAAAGCACGTCAACAATTTGTAAATATATTGGGGAAAGGAGATCAACATTACTTTTTAAATCTTTTATTACTTTTTTTCCGCAGCAATACTTACATCTACTCCTTTCAATGATTAAGGATGATGTTAATTAAATGTCGTTTAAACCTGATGAATTACTATTAGTGCTAAGAAATTTTCTCTCTTCTGTCCAGCAGACAACTGATCAATGCAGAAAAAAAATATTGATCGAAAACCTTAATGTCAGGTTGCACATATCACCAGCCGGACAGGTCACATAGAACTTCTTTTCTTTAGGCTTCCTGCTATTATCAGATGGTACAACAACAGGGTTTCCCTATATCTCTTTAAGCGTAGCTCTCTCTGAACTGCCTTCAACTGTTCTCTTTCTTAAAGTCCTCCTTCAACTGCTTTTTAATCAAACTAGGAAAGGATTTTCACCCGCTATTTTTCCAAGCAACTGCTTTTTTGCTAAGATGATCTCCAATTTCATCCATCATGGCTGTAAAAATTTAACTATTTTTGCGCGCGGAGAGGTTCGTCGATAAATGTGTGATCCCGAATCACATTCTTTGTTTTCGGATGCATCGATTAAAATGAGTCGCACATAATTGCTTTCGGATACATCGCTAAAAATGACTCGCATATTGAATAAAAATTTCCGCTTTTAACTTCTGTATTGGTACAATCTAATACAACCATTTCATCCTTACGGAAGCGTTTTTGTCCTCTCATCAGTGACATCCAATCACCTTTTTGTTCTGTATTTCGGTCCTTCCTGTTCATTGTTTACAGTCCAATCTTCTATCATTGTAAAAAGTCGACATTAAGAGTTGATTAGGTTGGGTTATATTTCTCAACATAATTGATTTCAAAAGTGCTGGTATAATCCAGCCAAGTATACAGTACACGATGAATGTACAATAGTTTATTACTGCATTTACTTTCACGATTTCACGATAAACGCATTTCCTTCTGCAGTTAAATGCGAGTGGTTAAATATGTTTTCACTGTTACTCAATGTTCAGAAATAGGTAGCAAAGCATTCTATACAGATTAGCAAGATTCTATCAGTAGTAATGTTTCCATGATTTGCTTCAGATTTCAAGAGTAGGTCTTGCAGCACTGATCTGAATACATGGATAAGACATGCAGGGCAGATTTCATGAAGATAAACGTATCATCACATTTTGAAGTGTAGAAATTTGCATTAGACAGTTTTCAGTTTTGTTGATATATGCAGATAAGAATTTCTGCATAAATTGAGTCTTCCCAACGGTAATTGGAGAAAGGAAATTTCAGCAGCAACAGAGATATAAAAAAGGTGAAATTGTAACAACACCGGGTGGGATTCGTAAAAAATTCAATGGGAAGCAGTGGAGACGGTTGTGCAGCAAAGAAGGATGTAATAAGGTGATTTCTAATATTTCCTAGTTGGTATTAATTTTTGGATTATTGTATTGCTTTCCTCATCTGAGCTTCACGTTTTTAAAGTTCAGAAGTTTTTGGAGCTGTATTTTCAGTCAATAAATTTTCATTTGTATTTAGGAATCCCAGCGACGTGGCTACTGTTCCAGGCATCTTTCATTGAAAGGAAAATCTATTCGATCAGAGTTTAATCTTGCTACTACACTTTCACCAGGCAACGATTTGAATGTTTTTATCGGGTTTTTGAAAACAAAATAATTTATTACATAATCGTCATATTGAAAAAATGGTATCGGAATACAGGTGGGAGTTCGATCGATTGGTCACACGGAGAATTCTCAGATTTGAGCCCAGTGGAAGTGCAGGGTCGGCGGTTCGACGAAACTGATGTTGCTAATACTCTTTTGAATCTTCATAATACTCACGGTATCAAGATTTTTTTAATGAAATTAATTTGTCTGTAGGGTTGGCCCAGTAAATTGACGTCTAATAAAATTTATTCTATGAATATGATTGTATTTGAAAGGAGCTGACAATATTTAAGCTTCAATAATAACATGTGATGCATAGAATGAAGGTTATAAAATTATTTCACCTCTAATGAACTATGTAACAGTCAGTAACAGATAATTACTTCAAGGTTTCTTGCCGTCTGCGGGTATAGAACAACCGTTTTCGTCATCGGCACCGGCACGGTTTCACCATATTGTTCCACCAAATCCTTTAGCTCCAAAGCTGATGTCCGGCAGTGCACCACCTTTATCGCATTCACGTACTATAGATGATGCTTTCAGTGAAGCGATCAAGGTGAAATTTCGAAGTTATTTTCACTTTATCATAAATCACTTTGTTCAAATAATTTGCTTTATCAGTTACGCTGTCGTTCGTCATCTCAGTAGTTTCAGATAGATAAGTCAATCATTGACCATAGTATGTATCATCCTAATTTAAAGACTGTTACGGATCGACTCCTTGAGCGAGCTTATCCACAACCATGTGATTTGCTGCCTGTTATGCCTGTACAAGTTCCAAGAAAGAAGGTTTGTATGAGTTATTTTTGCAAAACATTCCTTTTAGCAAAGTAAGATCATGTCTTGATGGCAACTTCGAGCATGAAGTGCTTTCAGTGCTATAAGAAATAATGGATAAGAAAAAAAAAACGAATGGTTTAAAGAAACGAATAACTAATGCGGCATATCTGTTGCGCAACACTTTTCTTCCAAAATTACTGTAGAATTATATTGAATTTTTTATATCTTTGAAAGAAAAATCTTCAGAATTCTTCATTGGAATTGAATATTTGTGCAAATACAAGCAACCCATTATTGATGCAACTTACTCCTCGTTTCGACTCCTTCTCTTTATTCAGTATGTTATCAGATGTGTCAAACAATGCAGGGACTTCAAAATCGGACGACTCAGCATCTCCGATGGGAGATTTTTCAACAAGCAAGAAGTTTTCGGAGAGTGACGATATATTGGATGATGCAAGCATTGCTGGCACGGGTTGCATCTCTTTTCTCAATTCATTTTACACATTGAAAAAATTTATCGCGTTGTTCATGATATTCAGTCCAGTGTATCATCTCTCACGGTTGTCGACGAATCAACAACAGAAATGTCCTCATAGTTCTCTGTTTAAACACGCAGTGTTAATTTGGAGCTGTTTCTTCTAATCAACGTAATTGTTGATAACAACAATTTTGCTGTTGCACGAGAAATCTTATAGCAGTTGTTGATTAAAAAGTAGAACTATTGTAAATGAAATCTAATTGTTGGATTGTTCATAAACTGCAGATACGGAAATAGATGATGCTAGCGAAAAAACACAATCTTGTAAAGGCGACGGCTGCAACGATGAAAATATAACAGACAATGACGATTTTGAGGAAGACTGCAGTAGTAGTGTTCATGAGCAACTTTTTCCTGGAAGCGAAGGAAGCGGTATTTTTTTTTCTCTAATCTGCACCTTGGCAATAGTGACATTTTGCAAATAGAAATGGTTAATTGGATTGCTAATGAGAGGCTTCGATATTTTCAATATTCCAGGGAAAATATTGAAGCCGGGAATGTTTTATAACTATGTCTTTGTTGTTTTTCTTTTCGAAACAGAGCATGTGTATTTTGTTTAAGCTTTACTGGTAAGGGAAATATAAATGCTTCCATTTGCGGCTTATGAATTTTTGTAGGAAGTATGACTGGAACATTTCTTGGTGAAAGCATTACTGGACATGATGTCATGGATGAGTATTCGGAAGGCGAAACTGATCAGGAAGGTCAATTAATTGATCATTTGCACTATTTACTACTTACCTCTTGTGGCAGTATTGCACAGCAATTCGTAAACAGTCTCCTCATTCTTTTTTAGTTTACCAGAAAAAATATGGTTAGAATATGGTTATAATCATTCGAACAATCTTATATAAATATTTGTTTTTGAACTTCCAGAGATTGGCATTCTTTATCACTGTGGACAAAAATTTTTTCCCTTAGTCTTAATCTTATAGAATGAGTTTGTTGACATTCGTAGCTCGCTTCTTTTTTTCAAGCATTTCTTCATCAGCGACCTCTGGATCTCAAAATTTCTAAATTTAGTTTTAGGAATTTCGTGCGCTGAAATATGAAAATTTCAATAGTAACTTTGTCAATTCTTTTTTTTGTTTCTTTAAGATTATATAATAAACAGTTGAAATTAGTTTGCAGGTGAGAGATACTCGTCATCGGTTCCATGGCATCATTTGGTACCACATTTACAAAAACGAGTGTTTGAAAACTCATTGAAGGAATTTACGTCAACACCTGATGATTCAACGCAAGATTCGGTTTGTTTCTATGCTCTCCTTTACTACTTTTCTCTAGACGTTGGGCCCAGACATTTCTGGTAATGTAATAAATAATAGTACTATTCAGGATCAAAAAGGATTCGGCGACGACCAACAGACTAGTGGCGGCGGGAAGACGCTCAATGGAAATCAGGGTGGTATGGACCAACAGTTTGAAGCTGAAGGTGACAGATATGATAGTGCTACTGACCGCACTGATAAAGTGCGGAATAGTAGAGTAATCGACGACGATGAAAATGGGAGAAAGAGGATTGAAAATAGCAGATTGGAAAGTCGAACTGTTCAGCAGGAACATTTCTTACGAAAGCAACAACGTGGTGTTAGCCAGTGCTACAACAAGTAAGAGGGAACCAAAGTAATAAACGGATACAGTTTTCTGAGCTTAAATTTTTCAGCAGTTACCGGTTTGAAAAGAAAAGCGGGAGTAGAGATGCTCAGATTGCAACACACTATGGATCGGAGATTTCGAAGAGCGTTTTGCTTGGTTTGTTAATTACCGTAAATTATGAATTTTTTGTCTGTCTATTGTTTTATATCAGTTCAAGAATTCTTTTCAAGTACGTCATGACAAAAGCAGTTCAGGCTTCACTTGAATTTGAGATGTTATTTCAAATTATATGAATTTAAAATTTAATATTTTTTGTGATTTACTTGTGTTATTTAATATTAATTGTAGATCACTTTAACTTCGAATTTGAAGATGAAGAAACATTTGAATTGGACACAGTTGATGAATCAATGTCAATATCATCAAAAAAGCGTAAAGTGCAGACAATACTCAGTCCAGACAGTGGAGACAAAAAAGCTGTAGGCTTCAACGAAGTCATTGAATTTCTGCTATTCAAAACATCCTCATTACTGGCATTTACATCTTGTAGCTCTATCGATATTGCAGATGAACTTACAGTTTATCTACATCAGTAGATAGGCGTTTTGAATATGCTTGTACGTAATTTCAACTGGTCCCAAGGAATTATGGTTAAAAAAAGTTATCAGGTTCGGCAGCATATACGGCGGCCAATGAATGCTTTCATGATTTTCTCAAAACGACATCGACCGTTAGTGCATGAAAAGTATCCGAATCGGGACAATCGAACAGTTTCGAAAATTCTTGGCGAATGGTGGTATGCACTGGGCTCTGAGGAAAAGCAGAAATATCATGATCTTGCCACTCAAGTTAGTGCAATATTATTTCTCGAAATCTGCCGCTTCGGGTTTTCTCTTCTTCCCCTCGAAAAATTTTAATTTCTAGGTGAGGGAAGCACATTTTCGTGCTCATCCTGATTGGAAATGGTGCAGTCGTGAGAGAAAGAAAACAACAAATGGTATCCGATTGGAAACAGAAATGCGTACGTATTGTTAAATTTCTTTTTCGTCGCTTTAGTGAAATTTAGGATAAACACTTTTATTTGGCGTAGATGACAATAATCGTTATGCAAAATTACAATAACGCATTACAAAAAGTTAATCTGCTGTTGTTGATACACTAAGATGCAATTTTTTAGAGCAAAAAAGATGAGAAACATTCTATGCCATAAACTTTTTATAAATATTTACGAAAACAAAGCAAGAAAAAAAGCAAAGCTTAAAAAATAAGGATAAAAAGCGAGTAAGGATAATTAGCTTAATAGACAAAGCTTTTCATATATTTTTACACCATTTTTTCGCTTCACGACATGTCTGTGTTTTTCTTCTTGACCAAATGAGTCCCTCGAACTTACAGCTATGCAAATATTCTCCTAAAGCTCATATGTTTGTTACCATTTCGAAAATTATTGATTCGTATAATTAATTAGTCGATTTTAAGATAATACCATGAGTGATCTCGATATTTCGGATCAGTTGGCGTCAGAGTATATCGATGGGAAGTCTCTTTCTTTGTTCAGTCCAACCACACACGTTAGCTTTTTTTTAAAACTATCATGAGCCGTACAGTCGTTCTTTCCTTTACGAAAGGAGCAATTATCGAGTACTATTTGAATGGGGGAATTTTGTTCACAATTCTATGCTGAACATAAAAATTTTGGAACAAATTGAATCCATAAAGCTCAAAAGAAGAGTGTTTTTGTGATTCTTCCAATTGCTGGAGTAATGGTCATAAAACCTTCATTCCTTTCTTATTCCTGTGTGTTTCAGACAATTCACTACCCGATATCACTGAGGCCAGAACTAGATGTGGTTCCAGGGTCACCACTGGTTAGTCCTGGTTACATTCCGCTACCACTCATGTCATCTGGGTAAGCACTCCCATTAATTAGCTTTTTTCTACGTGAATAATATTTTGTTTTTGTTTTGTTTGTGTTTTAGTAGTATCCATTCATTAATATTTAATCATATTTTTTAAAGCAGTGATCAACGAAGTGATAAGCATTATTTGGATGTATTACGACCAATCATGGGCTTGAAAACTGATAATGTAGGTTATTTCAAACAATCATACAAAATACTCCTATTTTGCTAGGAATTAATCTGGCGCACGATAAATGAAGATATATTGTTGGTACATTTTCTGAGAATGAGTTGCTTGTAGAGTAGCAGCATGCTAGCTACCGATGCAGATCGTGTCGTGAACAGTAGTAGTATACTACAACCGCTTATTTCATCACTCCATCCCTCACCATTTTTATGGAATACCATACCGAATCTTCCATCACATTCGATCCTTCCTAGTGAACATCAACAACAACAACAGCAACAGCAACAGCAACAACAACAACAACAACAACAGCACTATCATTATATGTGTGGCACGTTCAATACTGTGCACACCTTTTGTAAAAAAGCTCACACAGCTTTTAATTTGGTACATTAATTTCTCGAGTTCTATAACAAATTCCACCCATTCTTTTAACATTTTAGCCGCTCTTTGCACTATTTCTCGGTTGGTTGTGAAAAAAGTTTATTTATGCTGAGCAGTTTTCAACTTTTTTTCCCTAATTTGAGAGAATGATGTAAAAACTTACGAAAAGACCATGTTTTTAATACATATTTTCGTGTATATTTATGTTATGTATTTAATGGATAATATGTCATTGAAATTGTAAAGTTTTAGGAACAAAAGTTGAGAGACTTAAGCTATTTGCTGTTGATCAATTTTTTGGCTAAACTTGCTTTAAGCTTCAGTATTATATTATAACTTGAAAAATATGTCTACTTTCCTTTAAAATTTCTTCGTTTTTTTGATATTTATTTGAAAAATACATTTTAAGATGGGTTTTTCAACGGTTGATCGGCTCCATTTAAACGGGAATACTGCAGTGGGACCAACATCTGTTGCAGTGGAACCAACAGCACCATTTTTTCCACTTCCGGTTTCGATGTCGTCTGAAAACAGCCTTTTAATTCCACTGATTTTATCTCATGAATCAGGCATAAAAAACCGATCTGTTTTGATTTCATACAATGAGCAAGCTGGTTGTGCTAATTTGAAAGGAGATAGTAGCTTCAAAAATGAGATCGCATCAGGAACGAAATTCACTTTTCCCAAGAAAGATCATCAGCAGGTTGCCTTCAAATTCATTATTTATGCAATTTACTATCACACAATCTTTCACAAGTTTTAATGAAAATTTTTAGATATCATTTGCACATCAAATTGTCCCTCATTTTCACAATGATATTCTCGATGACAGTAAGCGCAATATGAATGCGATGAGCTCAAGTTCAGCTTTCCAGGTTTGGTTGACAGAACAAGAGTTGGAAATTTTTTATTGCTTCTTTTCGTTATCTCGCTAAGCTTCAGCTGTACATAACGGCCCTGATTCTACTTTTTTCTATTTAAAAGTTTTTTGATTACGAAGAGATAATTTGAGTGCTTTTCCAGTTAGAGTTATTCTGAGACAAATCCATAGCAGTTGCATTATTGGTTAGTTATGTTTTTGCTGTCATCGATTTCTTTACAGGTTGCTGTTGTGAAACCTGCAAAGACAAAACAAAAAGCGATGAATGATAATCATCTAAAAAGGTTATTATTTCTCAGCTCTGTGTTGTTAATTAAATCATAGTTCAAAATATATGAAAGTGGTTCAAATATTTTTCGTTATAATTTAAGTTTTTCTGCGGGGTTCACGCAACCATCAGAGATCCCTTCTTCACTTCCACGTGACTCATTGACTGTTGTTTCCTGTGCAAAAGATCTGAATACTTTCGTGCTTATGCCAACTCCAGCTCAAAGAGGCATGGCAAAAGGACAACTGCGAAGTATGAAAATTGAATCTGGAGGTAGTTCTTTGTTTTTGAAATGTTTAATCTTTTCTTATCGCTAATAAAACGTTTCCATGAATTTACTTTTCAAATACTGATAGAATCCAACAGGGATATGCTGTTTTAATTTGTTACTGGACAGTAAAATATCACAAAAGCATGTCAGATAAGGGTCAGCTAAAACAACTGATTCGAATCTTTGGCGATGATCATATCGCTGGACTCTTAAGTCTTCCGCCAAAATCATCATAGATTCCTCTTTTGTATGTCTCTGTAAAACGCATATTTTAAGAAAGTTTTTTTTTGCAATGATAATAATATATTCTTCGGAGATTCAGATCTATGAATATTTTATTCATAATCAAAAGCTAATGTAAAAATGTAATTTCCATGCTATAGTTTCAAAGGCGATAGAATTTTCCTGGCGTTTTGTTGAGGACTAGAAGGGACTTTTTGAAAGTACGAAATTGATGTTTAGAATTGTGGTCGGGCTTCGGGAACGTAATTTTATAATATATTATGGGAGTATGAAAAAATATTATATTACGGGAGTTTAATTCACGATTTCAGAAGCAAGTGAAATGGAAAAGCCATATGAGACAGTTCAAAAATCAGGGTCTGAGGTAATGATTATAAACCCTTCCTTTGATATTTTCCGATGTTGGAGAATAATCGAGCATTTTTATTTATTTTTCAGAAAGATTATAAGGAATTGAACGAAGCAGCAGCAGACGTTGTTAATGTTTCTACAATAACAAACAAATTATCGAGTAATAGCGAAATAGAATTAAGAAGTCCGACTAAGAAACTTTTCAAACGGAACGACGAGAGCATGGATAGGTTAGTCCGATGTTAATGAGCAGATTATATATAATCTTATCACTGGAATAATTTTTCAAACTGTCACTTTTCTCATTTCAGAGTCTTAAATCAAGTGGATTTTGATAAGAAGTTTGCCAACTTGCCAGCATTCACTCCTGATGATCCGCAGAAAGGTTATATTTA